TTCCTAATGTTAGTGACTAAAGAGAGCAAATATTGTCTGAAGCCCATAGTTCTCGATATTCTATTCACCTAGGAGTCACCAATATGACATGAAAGAGGTCTATTGGGGGAATGAGATAAATAAGGATATTATGGAATTTGTGGCTAAGTGTCCTAACTTTCATCAAGTGAAAGTTGAGCACCAAAAGCCGGGAGGTTTGTCCCAAGATATTAGCATTCGTACCTGGAAGTGGAAAGATTTGAATATGGACTTTATTGTTGGTTTACCCAGCAGTCGGGAGAAACGTGACTCAACTTGGGTTATTATGGATTATATGACAAAATCAGCTCAGTTCACACCCGTCAAGGTTTCTTATATGAAGGAAGACTATGATAAGTTTTATTTAAGCAAAATTGTTAGGTTGCATTAGGTTCCCTTATCAATTATGTACGATCGTGGTACCCAATTTACTTCTCAATTTTGTAATTCTTTCCAAAAAGGCCTTGGCACTCGTGTCAAGCTTAGTACAACCTTTCATCCTCAAAAAGATGGGCAAGCGGAGCGTACTATAAAAACTTTAGAGGATATGTTCAGAGATTTTGTCATTGACTTCAAGGGTAATTAGGATGATCATTTGCCTTTGATTGAGTTTGCTTATAATACTAGCTATCATTCAAGCATTGATATAGCTCCATTTGAGGCTCTTTATGGTAGGAGATGTAGATCTCCTATAGGGTGGTTTGAAGTCAGTGAGATTGCTTTGATAGGTCTCGAGTTGGTACGTGAATCTATGAATACATTTTGACTTGTTAAAAAAGGTTGAAAACATCTCCAAGTCAAAAAAGTCCTATGCCGATGTTAGTAGAAAAGATCTCGAGTTTGATGTTGATGATTGGGTTTACTTAAAAATTTCACCTATGAAGGGTGTAATGAGATTTGGTAAGAAGGGAATCTTAGTCCTCGTTATGTTTGTCCTTATCAAGTTTTGAGGTGTATTAGTAAAGTTTCTCATGAACTCAATTTGCCTAATGATTTGACATCAGTGCACCCAGTTTTCCATGTCTCTTTGTTGAAGAAATATGTTGTTGATCTGCCATCTATAGTACCATTGAAGAGTATTGGTATAAAGGAGAGCCTTTCATATGATGAAATTCCAGTTGAGAATTTGGACCGACAAGTTAGAAAGTTGAGGAATAAAGAAGTTGCATCCGCGAAAGTGTTGTGGAGGAATCAAATGGTTGGGTGCTACTTCAGAGGCCGAGGCCGATATGATTTCCCGATATCCTCATCTCCTTCCCTTTGATCCTACTCTAGCTTGTGGTATTTAGCTCCTCATGGTTCATTCTTTAAGATTCATATGTCTTAATCTTTCTCATGTTTCCTCATGCATGCATGCTCATGAAAAATTGAATTTGTGAAAGATATGATTAAGCTTGATTGATTGCTTCTTAATTGTGTGCATTTGAGTATGGTTTGCATGTATGTTTTGTGAAATGATGTTTGAGTATATGATAGCTTGGATTTGATTTCCTCTTTGACTATGTGCATTTATGTGATTGCATTCATGTTGGGTTGTTAGATCTCTTTCCCTACCCTCTTTATTGTCACACCCTGAGGCTAGCCACTAAACGTAACACGGGACCTAGGGTCACAAGTAACCCCAAGCTAACCTTGAATCTGACATATCATAAGCATACTGAAATAACTCTAACCAAGTGGAAGCATAACTGAATAATGAATATAATCTAAAGGAATTCAACTGAGAGTATCTGAAAGAAATAACTAAGTTCAAAGTAGAACAACCCGAATCAATAGAGTTGGACTCTATGTTTGAAAGCCTCTAATACTGATGAGCTGCTAGGACAAGTCCCCAACTAACTCTAAAATGCTGAAACTAACAACGAACTAACTAAATCAAAAAGCATAAAGAAACATCCTCGGATGATGAGGAATCACCCCTGACTGTCATTGATATGGTGCCGGTATGAACTAATCATGTGACTGCACGTGAGAATTTGAGCCTGCATCATAATAGGATGCAACATAGAGTATGCGTCAGTACTTTGAATATATTGAAAATGAGGCATATGCAAAGCTGACTGAATATATATACATGCTAAAATTACTGGTCAAGCATGTAAATTGAACTGAACTAAAGTACATAGGCCCAAAATATAATAATGCATAAAAAAGCTAGAATGCAAGAGTAAACAGGAAGCATGCTGAAAACTGAAAATAAATACAACTACGGGCCTGAAGTACCTTACTGAAGCTAATACTCTGGGAGAGTCTGTTAACCGACATAAACCACGTGAGTTAAGCATGGAGTCTTATGTATACGCCCCATCTACAGGACCTAATATACCTTGCCGGGGTATAAAGGCATGACTGTGGCATGATCACTAAAACTGATGCCTAACATAGAGGACTTATAAACCTATGATTGCACATAGTTCTGGGACTTGAGGGTATGCTGAACCCTAGTCCAGCTCGGTTATAAACACTACGTCCAAACTGAACACTAGTAGCTCATTTAAAACAGTGGTATTGAATTCATAATATAGAACTAAAATGGTCTGAAAACAATTTCTAGGAAAAAGTCTAGACAAAAAACTAACGAAATTTTGTTTAAAACTAAATGTTGACACCCTGTGCTAAATTTTGGAGAGGAGCTAATTCATGTGAAAATACTACAATTACTAGCTAAGTTCTTTTCCTTTCAAATCTCTATAATAATTCCTGCAAACTCATTTAAATAAGTATAGAATTGAGTAGTAATCACAAGAATCAATTTTGTAGAGAATCTGCATAGTTGGGCAAGAACCCTAGTTTCATAAAACCATAATAATCGAAAAAAGAGTCCAAAGTTTTGGGCATAAGGGGAATGAAACCCTTACTGAATACCCACATTCCCGGTGGATGAAAATCCATGCAAGAAATTTGAAGTTGACGCTTGGAAGAGAGAACCCTACGCTTGGAAATTTGAGAAGATGTTCTTTTTCTATTTGGAGCTGACTTAAGAGGAAACTGATTTGTTGTAGGTAGTTTTTACTAATTAATTAGTCTTAGAAAAAGTGAAGCGAAATAGTTTAGGCTTAAAACAACGTAGTTTAAATACCAAATGCATATGGGAAAAGACCAGCGCGACCCTAAAAACTGATGAGGTGATTGAGAAGAGGGGCTTTACGGGCCATTTAAAGCATCACGACCCGTCTAGTGGGTCATGATGTTACCCTGCCAAACAAGGCTTCACTAAAATAGGCACAACTTTTTACTCCAGGCTTAGAATGAGGCAAACTCGGTGGCATTGGAAAGGGGACTCAAAGACCTTTGATTTGATAGGTGATGGGCCACCTAATCCATTTTGCACTGAGAGATATGATCGTTTGAAGTTGAACTTAACTTGAAAACTCACGACATCATCTACACGGAGGGATGAACGGTCTGTTCAAGACCCCATGGGTCGTATAGGGGACCGTCTAGGAGACCTCTTGCCTGGAAGCTCTAGAAGACTAGGGCCTCCCCTAAACGGGTTGTCTACCTCTTCATGGACTGTCTTGAGGTTTTTCCATGTGTACTTTTCCCGTGCAACCCTGCATGGTGGTTCACAATGCCCTTAACGGGTCATAGACCCCTAAATATCCCGCCTAGGGTGTCGTGAAGGGTCCATGGTCCATTTTGGGCTCATGGACTTGCCTATTTGTACTTTTTATCCCTTTCTCAAAGTTTGGGGTGTTACAATATCTCCCTCTTGGGATCATTCTTCCTTGAATGAAGACTAAACAAGTTGAGTTTTAAGGGAAAAAGCTACAATTCCTACCAACAGAGTACTAGAAACTGATGTTTAACTGAGTTGAGTCTTATGGACATGAAAACATTTTTAATTCTGGAATAACTAAGGAAACATGATACTGAGACTGAATTACACATGAGTAAACTGAGAGACTAGAGAGGAACTATTACCTCAAGTTGAAACTTGGTCGGAGGAGAAGAGGTGAGGGTACTTGGCCATCATGGGTCCTTTGGCTTCCCAATATGGACCGACTTCCTCCACACAACTTTTACAAAAGCAACTACTTTATTTCTCAACCTACAAACCTGATGGTCAAGAATATCAATTGGAACCTTATCATAGGTGAGGCTATCCTTCACAACCACACTCACAAAGGTACTATCGATGCCAGATCACCCACACACTTCTTCAACAAGGAAATGTGAAAGGCTGGATGAACCATTGCTAGTTCAGCTGGCAACTCTAACTCATAAGCCATATTACCAACTCTCTTCAGGATTCTGTAAGGACCTACATACCTGAGATTGAGCTTCCCTTTCTTGCCAAACCTCATCACCCCCTTCATGGGTGACACTTTCAGGAAAACTCAATCATCAATTTTAAACTCTAAGTCCTTTCTCCTTACATCTACATAGGACTTATGACGACTCTGCGCTGTCTTTAGTCTCTCTATGATGAGCTGAACTTTCTTCATTACCTCATGAACTGAATTTGGCCCAATCAAGTTTGTTTCACCTACTTCGAACCAACAAACCGCAGACCTACATATACACCCATATAGTGCCTCATAAGGGGCCATCTGAATATTGGAATAAAAGTTGTTATTATAGGCAAACTCTATGAGAGGTAGGTTATAATCCCAACTACCCTTGAAATCAATCACGCAATATCTCAACTTGTCCTCTAAGGTATGAATGGCACGCTCTGTCACCATTCGTCTGCGAATGAGATGATGTACTAAAATTTACTTGAGTAACAAGACCTTTTTGAAATGATTTCTACAAAGGAGAGGTAAACAGAGGACCCCTATCTGAGATGACAGACAAGGGAACCCCATGCAACCTAACTATCCTTTGATATAAAGTATGGCATAGTCCTCCATTGAATCTGTAGTCTTGAAAGCCAAGAAGTGAGTTGACTTAGTGACTTTGTCCACTATCACTCAAATGGACTCATGTTGTTTGCGAGTACGAGGTAAACTCGTGATGAAATCCATGCTTATCACTTCTCACTTCCACGTAGGAATGCTAATCTCCTGAGTCACACCTCCAGGTTTCTGATGTTCTACTTTAACCTGTTGACAACTAGGACACTTAGCCATAAAATCTGCGATGTCCCTCTTCATGTCGTTCGACCAATAAACTTCCCATAGATCAAGGTACATATTAGTGGCACCTGTATGAATAGAATATCTAGAATTATGGACTTCTTTAAGGACCTTCTAACTTAACTCACCCATAATTGGAACATATAAGCAACTCTGGTAATGAAGCACACCATCTCCCCCTTTGGAGAACACCTCAACTCTCTGCTGATGAACTTCACCTTTTAACTGAAGCAGTATGGGATCACTTTCTTGTTTCTCTCTGCCCTGCGCTACCAATGAAGATTTTGACCTATTCTAAACTATCACACCCCCATTTGACGTGTCCATAATGCAAACTCCTAAGTAAGCAAGCTGGTGAATATCTATGTTTAATTCATTCTTCTCTTCCTCAACATGTGCCACACTACCCATGGATAGTCTACTGAGGGCGTCAGCCACTAAATTGGCCTTACCTAAATGGTAGAGCACATTCATGTCATAGTCTTTGAAGAATTCAAGCCATCTTCTCTAACGAAGATTCAACTCTTTCTGGGTGAACACATACTGGAGGCTCTTATGATCTGTGAACACATCAACATGAACAACATGCAAGTACTGTCTCTAAATATTTAGGGAAAACATGAAGGCTGTAAGCTCGAGGTCATGAGTCGGGTAGTTCTTCTTAAGTAACTTAAGTTGTGTGGAAGTATAAGCTATGACCTTACCTTATTACATTAACACACAACCTAGGCCGACCCTGGAGGTATCACAATAAATCACATAACCGTCTAAACCCTCTGGTGGAGTCAAGATAGGAGCGTAGTCAATTTGGTCTTCAGTTCTAATAATCTTTTCTCACACTCATCTAACCACTCAAACTTGACCTTTTTCTAAGTCAACTTTATCAATGAGGAAGTTATGGATGAAAACGAGTTCATGCTATGTGAGTGAGGCATCGAGTTGAATATGAGGGCTTTCAGACAGCTTTAGAAGAATGCTTGATAGATGCAAAAAAGGTGAGGATCCACTCGAATGAAATTTCTAAGGTGAGGATCCAAGACTGATGGGTACAAAATTTGGTGGTACTTTTTATTGATCATAAATCACTTGTTATCGTACTATACTCCTTTTGCAAGATCAACTCTTAGATGCGAAAAATAAAATGATGAATGAGGAAATGAAATATTGGATTGAATCACCGAAGCTGGGAATCCTTCAATGAACCTCCTGTAGTAACCATCCAAACTTAAGAAACTTCTAATATCATTCAAAGAGGTGGGTCTGGGCTAGTGCTTTACTGCCTCTATTTTCTGAGAATCTAGTCGAATCCCTTTGGTGGATACCATATGACCAAGGAAAATGACCGACTGTAATCATAACTCACATTTGCTGAACTTAGCGAATAAGTGTCGGTCTTTGAGGGTTCGCAGAACAACTCTCAGATTAGTCGCATGATCGTTCTCATTCCAAGAATAAATGAGGATATCATCAATAAAGACGATGACGAACAAGTCCAAATACTATTTGAACACCCTGTTCATTAAGTTCATGTAAGTTACATGAGCATTTGTTAGTCTAAAAGACATAACTACAAATTCATAGTGACCATACCGAGTCCTGAAGTCTGTCTTCGGGATGACACTATCTCTGACTCTGAGTTGATTATACCTAGATCTGAGGTCTATCATAAAAAAGCAACTAGCACCCTGAAGTTGGGTGAACAAGTTATCAATCCTGGGGATGGGATATTTTTTCATGATTGTGACTTTGTTCAACTGATGAAACTGAATGCACATCCTGAGAAAACCATCTTTATTACGCACAAACAACACTGAAGCACCCCATGGAAAGATGTTGTGTCTGATGAAGCCTTTATCTAAAAGGTCTTTTAACTATTCTTTCAATTCCTTAAGCTCAAATAGAGTAATCTTGTAAGGAGGAATCGAAATTGCTTGGGTATCTTGAAGGAGATCTATTCCGAAGTTGATTTTCCTTCCGGGAGGAACTTCGGGAAAATATTCTGGGAACACTTCTGGAAACTTATCTACCACTGGTACTGACTCAAGAGTTGGGGTCTCGGAGTTTGAATCCTCAACTTGAACAAGATGATAGACATACCCTTTGGAAATCATTTTCCTAGCCTTAAGGTAAAAGATAAATCGACCTACAAGAACTGAGTTTCTACCCTTCCATTCTAAAATTTGGCTCGTTCGGAAACTGAAACCGAATGATCCTAGTTCTACAATCGATTGAGGCATAACATGAATGAAACCAATACATGCTTAGAATGATATCAAAATTTATCATTTCTAACTCTACAATGTTTGCTAAGGTGACTTTCTAGGAAACTGTGATTGGGAAATTTCTTATACCCGTCTAGATATAACTAGGTCACCAACTGGAGTAGAAACTGAGAAGGGTTCAAAGAAAGTTTCTGGACTGACACCACAGTTTACTACTATATAAGAAGTTACAAAAGAAAGTGTAGCCCCTAGATCTAACAATGCATAAACACATAAATGGAAGACTTGTAACATATGAATGACCACATCAGGAGAATCCTTCTGGTCCTGTCGAGCAAGAAGAGCATACAACATGTTCTAGCATTGACCACCACCTGTACTAGACAAGGCACCATTTTGAATGGGGCGATGTCATGACCCAAAGTACACCCTAGATGTGACATGGCATATATAGGACCCCAAGAGGCCCTACATAAGCCACTTAGCATATATCATACAAAATAATAGAATTCAAAGAAATTTTATATGACAGCTTCGAATCGTAAGAGTTGATAAAACGTAGCGGAAGTCTACCCTAGTCTCAAATCCATCTAGTACATCAAGAGTGATTTGGACGTAACCAGTGCATCACATACAATATGGAAAAGTAAAGACAATAAGCAATAAAGGGTTCGGTCCTCAGAACATAAGGACTCACCAATCTTTAAATCTACTAATGTGATCACTAACCACAGAGATGCGGAATGGGAACGTTGGACCCAACATTAATGAAACAATGTAGGCAAGAGTATGTGTTAGTACATGGAATGTACCAAGTATGATAGAAATGCATAAGAGTATGAAAGCATGCTATAAACGACTTTACAAGACATGCAATAACCGAGTTACACCATAAGATAAGAGAGTTAGAGAACATAAATCATAAGTCATTCTCAATGTGAGTTACAAATCTTTGAAACTCTTGTTAGATACTTCTAAAAGTGACCCTAGTTCATTATTATGGGAGATCTAACTTTAACCGACATAGAGACCACGTGAACTATATCATGGAATCCAGTGTCTACCCCACACCGAAAAGAGGTGTTCTTACTTGCCAAGGTAAGAACCATGAGCTTCTAGCTTACGTGGATCCACTAGCTAATGTCTATCTAGACAAACCTATGGTGGCACATAGTTTACGGGACGTGGGTAATCATCACTTTTCCCATCAGTGCTAAGCATACATCCTACGGAATAGTCATTAGTCTTAACTTATATTAACATTCCTGAGACATGGGTATTCACCGTTTGTCTTATCATTTGAGGACATGGATAATCGCCACTTACCTTATCATTAGAATAGCTCCTTAACTTGATTCATCTTAGGTGAGAAAACCATTCAACCTTATAAATACTTTATGTGAGAAATCCTTTCACAATCATGCTTTCATGTATATGTGAGAAATCTTTTTACAACAACAACATTGAGGCTTCACTCTCAAAGCAAATCTTAAATCATTTTCATCAATTTCATAAAGAACACACATATCTTCATAAATTTATCTTTCATAGTTCAAAATCTTCTTCATATGATCATAGTCTTGAAATCATGGATTTCACATGGGTTCATGGGAATTCAACTTAGAAACATGTAATGACTTCAATTTATGCATAAAAATACATAAAACAATCAACTAGATCAGAATTGAAAAGAACCCACGAGATTTAGCAAAAACCCTAACTTCCCTTGGAGATTCTACCTTGAAAAATTGGAGAATTTAGGAAACCTAGGAGGAAAGGATTCCATAGGTGAATACTATCATATCTTGTTGGCAAAAGATTGCACTCAATGGTAAATTTGGAGACTTGTCCTTGAAACCCTAGCCTTCTTCTTCAAGCTTTTAGAGAGAAATATTGGAGAAGAAATTTGATCAACTTTGAGAATTTAGGAGAACGAGTTCAATGGGGAGATATTGGGGGGTAAAAACTTTTATATAGGGTCTATAATAAAAGGTAAAACAGCATAGTATTGGGTTAGAATAATTAGGAAAAGACCCAAAAACCTTTCTAAAGATTAACTGTCGACCTCAATCGATGGTGGAGAACCTACGGTTCGTGGGTCCACCTATGGACTGTCCTGGTCGACCGTTGATGGGTTATTTTCTTGGACCCTTGAATGACAGGACCCATGTATGTTTCGTTGGTCAACCTACGGTCCGTACATGGCCTCTGTGGATCCAAGCGAAAGTTCTTAAAATATTACTAAGTCTAAGACTCACCTACGAGACCTATTTACGACTTGTGCATTGGATGACGCACAGTCCTGACGAACTGTATAAAAGTACTGGGACTTGACATTTTTAGGAAATTTTGGGCTTGCCACCCATGGTCCCACCTATGGACCGTAAGCCAGTCCACGGGCCATCTTTTGTTCCGTTGGTACTGGCACCAGTTTTAGATAAAGCGGCAATTTTTTCATCCTTTCAAATCCAATATGTTACAATATCTCCCCCTTGGGAACATTTGTCCTCGAATGGGATTCAAGACATCATACGGTGGGTAGAAACTTAAACTAATAGCCCAACATGAATGCAATCACATATATGCATATATCCGAGGAGGAAAAATCAACTCCAAGTGTAAGCGTGTTCAAAACATCATTTCACATGGTCTATATGCAACTGATATTCAAATGCACATAAACATAGAGAAATCTATCAAATAAACTCATTTTCTAAAAAATCAAGCTTTTTATGAACATGCATAAATGAGGAATCATGGAAATATCTAAGACACATGAAACCAAAAGAGAAAACCATGAGGTACTGAATACCTCAACCTAGAACAGGGATAGAGGGAAAGAGATGAGGATAATGGGACATCATATCGGCCTCGGCCTCCCATGTAGCACCCTCAACTAACTTATTCCTCCAAAGAACCTTTACGGAAGCAACTTTCTTGTTTCTCAACTTCTTTACTTGCCGGTCTAAAATCTCAATCAGAACTTCTTCATAAGAAAGATCCTCCTTAACTCCCAAACCTTCTAAGGGAACTATGGAT